TGACAGTACAAACATACTGGATATTTTATTATAAACTTGCTTTCTGCCCGCATCTTCTCACGCGTGGAGTTCGGTTATATCGCGTTTTCAAGAGAACCTTTCAAAAGTCTGGGATAAAAACTATTCTATGTTCTTTCTCAAGGTCAACTCTATGTCTGTACGAAATTTCATTAATATCAGTACAGTGGTTTAGGGGTGAAAGCGTAACAGACAGACAGACAGACAGAGTTACTTTCGCATTTATAATATTAGTAGGGATGAAGCCACGCGGCTATATGACAAGTTATAGTCACACACGTGGAATACAAAGTTACTTTATTACTCTTTCACTATTATTAAGGTTATTTCTGTGTAATTTATTATTATAACACGACATAATATGTACATTACATTTTCACTCTCAATAACTTAAGACCCTTGCGTTATCGAGACTCTGACATATTAAGGTTCTATTGATATTAGGTTTTGTAATTCATAAGGAAATCACAGTATAGATTTTCTTATATAGAAAAAGTGCTGAGTCGATTTAAATGAAACAGTTGTTTTAAAGGTCTTTACATTTAACGTAGATATATTTTTAAATGTGTTTATTTGATTTACTTCAGTGATAATCTTTAAAGATACTCAATTAAAAAATTCAAATAAAAAAGTTTATCTTACTGTATAAAAGAAAAATATGTTTTATTGACGTTTTATTACAAAATTTTAATAATTTTGATCTTTTCTTCTAACATTAGCCTATTGGTATCCTCTGTTGAGCACAGTCCCTTTCTCACATAGAGAATGTTAAAGCAATAATCACCACGCTTGCTCGAGGCACATTAAAGATTTTCATAAATCTTATAATTTGAACTTATAAAGTCCAGGTTTTTCCTCACGATGTTTTTCTTGTCAGTGGTGTCTAAATATTCTTAGAAAGTATATATAACTCGGAAAAATCACATTGGTATTTGCTAAGTTTTGAACTCACACCCTCAAGCATAAGAGGTTGGCCTTTAACTTCTAGAAATTAAATAACATTAAAATAATATCCACCAATATTATTAATATTCTGTTATTATATCCACCAATAGGTCACCACTCATACATACATGTCGAATTAAATAAAATACGTTATCAAGATAACCTTCATGTTTGTGGAATGAAAGGTATTACAAGCATGTCCTTTGATAATATTAGTAGAGCGATTTATAATAATACAAATACTATGTTCTATGAATTGTTAAGTTTTATTAATTTTCCATTAATTGTTCAGTTTAATCATCAGTTTAAGTCTAATTTTATTACATCATTAACATGGTGCATACTTTGCATAGAAATCAGTTCTAAGTAATGTGAATATGTTAGGAGTTTAATCAACACGAGCGTATTAACCTTGTTACTGGAATTATTGGCCTCTCATGTAGAATCCGTCAATATTGAATACTCTTATTGCATTTTAGCAATTAGTTTTTATTACACACCTGATACTTTAAATGCAATTATAAACAAAGAACAGCTGAAATAGTTACATTTATTATAATGAAAATGTAATATACAACAAGTTTAGTTTTAAATTTAAACATTCATATAAATAATTAATGTCAAATACTCCAGTTCCTGTTAAATTTAATAACTTCTCGTATCTGTTTGTATTGTTATGACTTATGAGACTCGACTATGAGAAACACGGATTGGCTGTTATTTTATTATGTACATATAACAATTGAACATTATAATCCTTGATTCTTCAACTTTAGTTTCTATAATAATCATACGTTTTGAAATTTATACACAATTATAAGTTTTTTTTACTGTATGTTAAGTGAGTAACAGTGAGTATTCAAATTTAAAGGGTCTTTAAAATTGTAGTTTTATTAATTAGGTTGCCAAAAGTTTTTGTCTTTTCAATTATTTCTGTTAATTTTTGATGTAAATAAGGAGTATATTTATTAAAGTTATGTATTTAATCAAAATGAAATCTAATTTTATATCTAACGTAAAAATATTTAGAGCACGATGATAAAGACATTCAGTCTGGAGGGTCATATTCTTTTGAAATACGGAAGGACAAGACAGAAATTAAGTGAGTTTTAGAACAAGAATACGATATATATGAAATGCTTATAATGAATTGGTTACGAAAGCCACAGACGCAAGGCCTGAGAAAAACAAAAATGACTTATAACTAATTTTATTTGTTTCAAATCTCACAATTGATATTGAATGTACGACCTCCTCGATATAATCTAGTACAATACAATGGTCAGTATAATTATAATAGTGAATTTATATAAAATATATGTATTGATTCATCATCCCCTGTAAATGTACATCATTGTTGTGTTTGACGGAATTCTATATTGTTTAATATATTGATTACGGTGAGAAACAAAGAAGAATATGATTCCTGGTTTGTAATTTATCCTTCTTATTAAATTTACATAGTTATTCCTTCCCAGGAAATTTTTCATCAGTTAACTTCTTGTATTACGATAGAAGATAAGAGAAGTTATAATAAAGAATATGATTTTTAATCAATAATTTTAACGTTCGTATAAACGTAGGAATGTATTGCTAAATATATATCAACTAATGTCTATGAGAACGCGTTTATGAAACTAATTATAAAATGATATAAAAAACATAACGATTATTAAACGTGTGTGAAAAAAATCATTTTACTGAAATAAACGTTGAACATATTACGCAGAACCATACAGTGATAGAAAGCATAATTACATAATTGGTTATTATGAAAACCTTACTTTCTATTGAAGTGTGATAATTGTATTTAATAATTCCGTATATTTAATTTCTGATTGTGTAATGATGTATCATTTAAACGTTACGGAGTTATTGATATCAATTATATCATTAAAATATGTTTTATGAGAAATTAAAAATTTACTAGGTATTCTACCAGCCACCAACAAACACACATTCACATTTTCTGTAGTTTATCTTTCTTTGCCCTAGCAATATTCGTCATATTTACAATTCCGTCAGGATTCTATACATTTATAATACTATATATTATAAGACTTACATTAATCCATATTTTAAATAATTATTTTTTATTTAAATCACTGCTTATATTATAAGTACTAAAGAAGTATGTATCTTTAGCTTTAAATAAAATAACATATAGTATTCACGACATATACATAGGTCATACAAAATAATATACTATCAATTTACAGGGAGGGTAAATTGAATTTATTTCATTTGGATGTCTGATAAATACAAAAATAATTTTATTCGTAAAATTGTTACATTACTTGTCATACATGTTGTCTATAGAATTTGATTTTATAAATACAATTGTTTAAAAGATAAATTTTTAGGACTTCAATATTTAAATTTGTTCTAGATATACATATCTACTGTCTGTATTGTGTAAAATAAAATGAACAAAATATATAAATGGGACTTATTATAAAAATCTATTCAAACGATCCATAGCAATAGCTACTACTAATACTTTCTAATTAGTTGATCTTTTTCTTAATTTATATTAATTTTTGATTCGTATATTCATTTGAAATGTATTGTTATAACATTCTATAATTGTTTTATTGATAAAATTGTTTATAAAAAAGTTTGACCAAGTTTCCTTATTCACACCCATAGGAGGAGATGCATCGCTTATATGTATTAAGTAACCCAGTCACGAGTAGAGACAGAACTCGGCTTCTCAATTTCTCATGCATTACCTAAAGCTTGAGTAATTCCTGGAATATATCCTACTGAATGACTAATAAATGAAACTATTAATATTCTCAGTTCTACTGACGTATTCATCTTAAAAGGAGCTACAAACATTTTCTTTATAGTTTGATAATTTCTCGCAAAACTCAATCATTTACCTTCACGCTCTTTATAAGTTGGAATTTCAGTATCTTTAAAATCCCGTATTAAAAACTCCTTAACAAAATCAACAATATAGTTTTCCAGAATATTTTGTTATATTTTTATAATTTGTTACTTCAAAATTTATACACTTTTCATTAAATTATATACTATAACTTCAAATAATCTTTAATAATAACTTAAATTTGGCTTGTTAATAACTTATATATGACTTGTTGTAGCTATTGCATAATAAAATATAAAAAGATAGTCGAATATTTTCGTTCCGAACTTAGTCAGTGGTGGCCTAGTAGTTAAAAGTCCCGCCTCTCATGCACGAGGGCACAGTTCGATTATGTGGTTTTTCAGTCATATGTACTTTCTAAGAGAATTTAGACATCACTGATTAATGCTTTCTTAAAGAGGGTTGAGGTAAGGCAGGCGGGCTGATCGTAAAAAAACAGCCAAAACTATTCACAACAAGTAAGGCAGACCCTGGCTAAAGCTGGGAAATTGCCAGGTAGAAGAAGATTTTCGTTCCGAATTTGTGATTGTTTTTTATTTTAAAATTTGTATTTTATTTAGTAGTCGAATCATTTGGTAGTTTTATCTAGAATTTTCAAGTTTGCCGTCTCGCACCCACACCGCTCGGGCCGCCCGCGCTATGTTGAAGAAATGAATCCTAAAAAGGTATTTTAGGAATACTTTCTTTCCTACGCATTTTACTAAAAAAATATTTATATACAAAATGAAATACGACAAAATTTTCACAATTTATGAATGAATATTTTTTTATTAAATCAATAGTTTTGGACGTACGAGCGCCGCAAAGTATTATTCATCTGCACCACCACGGGTTTTCGTGTATTTTTCTAAAATACATATTATACTATTGCCGCCGATTTCGAAGAAGCAAGTTTTGGTGGTCATACATCTCGACTGTGGAAACTATACTGTGTATAGTCTCCATACTCTCTACCGCCAACGAAACATCTGTCAGTAGAAGCAATATTTTGAGACATATTTAGTTGAATCTGAGTCATCAGTATAATTTTATCGTCGTACAGTGTTGTTTGTGTTTTTAGAGCCATGGCAATACAAAAAAATGTTTTATTTGTGACAATTCAACCTTAAAAGGTTTCGACTCAGTTATAGTATCAGACGTGCCAATGGGTTCTGGTGTTTCCACTAGTGCTTCATTGGAAGTAGCTTTCTTCACGTTCCTAGAGGACCTTACTAAGACCACGGTTGAGTATGTCGATAGTTTAATAAATTTATAAAGTCTAGTGAGATATACGTATATATTAAAAGGTTTGTTCTGTATCAATTCTAGTAATATTTAACTAAATTATTCATTAGTTTTAAGTATAATTAGAATGATCAGGAACCTGTTTGAAAATAGCCTTGAGAGAATTAAAATCAATTTAAAAATTTATGTTTAATGTGAAAGAATCAAAAATATTTTTGATCAAATTATGTTTTTAAGGCTTTAAAATATATTTTAACATCTAATAGTATGTTCAAAAGTTGTAAGACTATAAGTATGTTTAGGTTGGCGTGTACAGTTGATTTTAAAATTATAGTGCGAAAGAGTGTTTCCATAAATTATGTAGTGTTTGTTGAGTGCTGTTAAAATGTGTAACGAATTTCAGGAAGATTATTGTTCAGTTTTTTAATGAAATTGTGTAATATTATTCTAGTATTATTCACTTAGTATTGATATAAAATTTCATAGATATTTAAATTCTTTTAAATATTTTGAAGTATTTTATTAGTATTCTATTAAATATTTTGTAGTAATTAGTAAATATCTTTTTAATTATTAAACAAACGTTGAATAAAAATATATCCTATTATATAAAATATTGTCAGCCATAACGTCTTTCAAACACTTTCGAAGAGTTTGTAAATTAAAATATAATATAATTTAATATATGTTTACCTGACTCTGAAAAAAAAAGGTTTGTTTTTCGATTATATGTATATGTATGATTATGTATATTTTTTGAATATGCCCTTGAAACTTAACAGTTTTATTTTTTATCAATATGATATTAAAGATTTCGTCTCAGTCATAAAAATGATACTGGGTACATAAAAAAAAATAATATTGAGGACTTCATGTCTCAAAATACAATTTTAAGAAATCAAAATTCATCATTTATAGTATGAAAATAAAGAATTTGTAACGGTGAATACGAAGTTATGTATAAAATTTGTAATACTAGTAACTCACAACACGGCTCTCACTAATATAAACTCTTTGTTTGCGTTCCTGTCTATAGCCTGAATAAATGAATTTAAAAAAGGTTACAGATATGGAGGCAGTTGTTTATTTAGTGCGCGGGATATGTTATAGAATGATATGAGAATAAATAGTGAATTTTATATCCACTTTCGCAATTTAGACATCAAAACTAGCAGTACAACTCGTTAAAGGCTAGAAATTTTTTGAAACTAGGTATAACAAAAGTTAAAATTTTTGCAATTTTCTAACACAAACTGAGAGCACAAAATTTTATTCGTAACTCTCAGTCTGTTTTGGCGCAATAAGTATACTGGTAACTTAATTATAAGCCAGTTTTATAATATTTGATAGTATTATTGTGGCTTAGAAAAGCAAAAATAAAATTGTGATTCCTTCTATATGACCTTTCTAGTTTAGCAGGCATCTCAAACAACCTAATAGTTATTTGAGATTAGAATTTAACGAGCGGATTGCGTATTAAATGAACATGATTTTCCAGGAATGCCGTGCGGTATTATTGATCAATTTATAGTGAAAGAAAAGATCACGCGTTACTAATAGATTGCAGGTGAGCAATCAGAGTTCTAGTATATTCTTTAATGAAAAATGTTTTTGATGTTAATTAAATATTGTAGTAAGAATTGAAAGAAAGAAAGAAAGTGAAAGCCTTTTAATTAATAATGCAAAATATGCTCGTCCAATTCATAAAATTTTTGATTTATCTTTTAGCCTTATACTGTTTGAGTACAAATGTTTCTCATTATCTTTTTGAAAACAAATTCTCTGTTAAGATATATCGTTATGATCTGTAAGATTTTTGTGTGTACAAATTTAAATGAAACATATATTTTTCGGGAGTAGTATCTGAAAAGTTTTAGGTAAATGTAAACCATTTACTTATGTTCTTCTATTAAACTCTTTTGTTTAATCAACTTTTGGAATTTATTATTTTATTTTAAAACCAATAAAAACCGTACTCAGTTTAGTACAAGCTACCAAAAATAAAAACATTTTTTTATACACTAATGAGCAAAAATAACCAACATCCGTGCCGTAAAACCGGCTAGGTAATATTGAATTATTGCGTTATTGGATTTTGCCATCAAGAGAATAAAACTATATACTCGTACATATAGTGAATGATTTTGTTTAATAAAGACTACATACTCCCGATGTTTCAATTACTTTACAGTTTCCGTGATTGCGAGCAGACGAGATGTCTTTCTCGTATCAAAAATAAAGTCTCATAGTATATCCGCAAAATAATAGCTGTTTCATTTAAATGGACTAGCGAAAACCTTAGATGTCATTAATATATATTTATTTCATCTAGTGTGGTTATGAAAATGATTTTTTAGTCAAATGGAGGGATGACATTATAATAAATAAGTACGTCAAACTGATTCGCTTGTAACAATAACAAGGTATTGATCTCTGAAGCGAGAATAAATAAAATAAAAGAAATGAATCGTCATTCTAAACCACATAATCTGTCAATCTTCCAGATCACTAGAGTCTCAACAGGTGCCAACGAAGTGTTCAGACGTCGTTCTGTTGGTGGTGAATTCTAATGTGAAGCATCAGTTAACTGGAAGCGAATACCCTCAGAGGAGAGCGCAGTGTCAGCAGGCCGCTGATGAATTGGAGAAACCGTCCTTAAGGAGCGCCACTGATCTTCCAAGTAAATTTTACACCACATTAATTTGACGGATTGAATAAACTTTATGTATTGATTCACTGATGGTCCATTAAACAATCTTTGGACTCTTTAAATGAGAAAATGAGTTTTTCTTCCTGTAGACTGTTGTGTTATGTGTATCATGGATCTACATTTCGTAAATATTTAAGTTTTAAAGATAGCTTTGCAAAATGTGTGTGTGTGTCTGTTATTGTGTGTATGTGTGGGAGCGTGCGTGTGTGTGTATTTCTGTTTTAGACATTGAAGCCTTACAATTGATGGACCAAAATCAATGCGGTTTGTTTTAATTATACTCGTAATTTAAAAGCCACTGTCCATGTGGTGGTTTTAAGCTATTTTTAGTTATTGTAGGTACAATTATGTAAGAGAATAAGACAAAAGAAAAGATATTTGGCATATAAATTATTATTAATCCTATTAAGTAGGGGATTCTTCGAAATTACTTAAATCTTCTGTTATATACCATTTCTAATTCATATTTATTTCCAGTGATAATATAAATAATTTCTTTCACGTTTAATACCTTATTTATGTATTCTGAAAGCAAACATACAGGATATGAACCTACAGTACAGTATATGTAATTCCGATTCGCTACTTAAATAGGATCAAAAGAGGGATTTTCGTGGGAAATTTCTTAGATCGTTTCCTTTATTACCTTATTAACTACATTACACCCAAATTTCTCGTTCAGTTTTTTATCGGTTCCTTTCATTTGGAACGTTACGTAATAATATGATTCGTAATACCATTCAATCTATTTATGTATATATTCCTTAGGCCTCGGCCTCGAATCTCGCGGGTAGCGGGGCGGCAGCGGCGGCGGCACGAAAACGCATACATTTCTCCGTGCCCGTTGCCCGCTAGTTTACCCATTGAAGTGTATTATGAAACTAAATCTGATTGATACATCACTATTCCATATAATTATAAATTGTAATGTAATTTACCCAACTCTTAGAAGGTTTTCTCCTCTCAATCTTGAAGGATCATTAATACAAATGCGACTAAAACATGTAACGTGTAATTCATCCAGGTAGGGCGTCTGTTCTATCAGTCCCACGAGTCTCTGAGCAAGCTGATGGAGGTTTCTTGTCGCGAGTTAGACCAGCTGGTTGATATCATGAGGTCATCAGACGGAGTCTTCGGCGCCAGAATGACGGGCGGCGGCTTCGGTGGATGCGTGATAGCCTTAGTGAGTTAAGCTCATACTGACTACTATTGAATGCATCAAAGTAAATCAGTTTTAAACCTATTTAATTTAAAGTGCATGCTGCTAATGGAATGTATGCTTTTAGTGTAATGAAATCGAACTGTTTTTAACAATTTGCTATAGTAGTTGTTTGGTAAACCAATTTTAGTTCGTTCTTTGTAGTTTCTGTGTACAATGGACGTTTTCATCGGTTTGATTTAGTTTAAAGCTTCCCTTGTTTTTTATATAAAATGTTGGAAAATCTGTTGACTTTTTCACCTTATACTGAAATGTGATATAAAAACCTTATACATTATTGTTTCGATTATTAAATATTTCTTAACATGGAAACACAAAAGATATTTGTTATATAAAAAGGGGAGTAATAAATGACTATACAATTATTTCTTTGGTGTCTACATCATACAGTTGTTACTTAAGAATGTAATTTCAGTGAGATAATGACTTTCTTTTTAATATATATTAACTTTGATGTACTTTTATAGGTAAAGAAGGAATGCTTGTCATCTATAAAGAGCAAGGTCCGGGCGAAGTACAAAGGTAAGCCAGTGTTCTTTGAGTGCGAGCCGAGTGACGGAGCAAGAATATTGAAACTAGAATAAATAAATATCATTTTATTAAAATCTTTCATTTTAATAACCTTTCATACTATTACTTTAGTGGTTCAGGCGTATTTAGTGATTACTTATATTCTTTGCGATGAAACAATTTTATTCCATTATCTTCTTAAATTAAGTAGTTTTATAATTTGAAATACTAAATTCTGTCAATTTAGAAAATACTAAGAGTCTGTTTGACTGTTTGGTGGACAATGAAAATTTTGTCAGGAAATCCTTCTTTTAGGTACAAATCCTTTTTTATTAGATCCACAAGTTATGCTAGGCAGTTTTTGTTGTAAAACTAGTTTAATTGTCAATAAAAGCTAGCAAAGAAAAGTAATTATATATATATGTCTTTTCACATATTTAAACTAAAGTTTTATTATTAAGGAAAGTTGTTTGTATTTATATTGTCGAGTAAAACGAGCCATTGTACCATATGATGATAAATTTATATCTCTTACTTCAAGATGAAGTTTTACTCGTGTAAAGGTTTAAGGGATTCTAGAAAAATGGGACGGAATTTTCGGATTATTCAGAAATAGAAGCGAGTATTGAGGCTTCCAAATCTTCAATAATAACATTGTGCTATAAAAACTGATTTCACGGCAATATTATATGTTAAATAACAGTAAAGTATATATTTTAAATATGACATGACCTCGGCAAACTCGGCTGTAATCTTATATATAAAATTCTCGTGTCGCTGTGTCAGACAGAGAACTCCTCCGAAAGAGTTGGACCGATTTTGATGAAATTTTGTGAGCATATTGAGTAGGTCCGAGAATCGGCCAACATCTATTTTTCATACTCCTAAGTCATAAGGGTTGTTCACGCTTAATTTTTTTTTCAAACAAAATTTTTTGTTTTTATTTTTTTATAATGTAGCATTAAAAATACATACAACCCAAAAAATTTCACTTTTTATTTAAATGGCAAAATAACGTTTGCTGGGTCAGCTAGTAACGTATAAAGATCTTGTGAGGTAAGTTAGTACTGCCTGATTTCACACCTATAAATTGTTTTATTAGAGTTGGATTAAATAAAAAGGCTTTTTAATATATGTAGTGCATATAATATGGCAGATATATATGAAAAAACATGAATTTATGATCTGCTATATGCATACAGACATGTATATATTTATATATACATATACGTACATAGAGACCTTTTTATGAATACAAACACAATGTCTTAGTTTAGTCACATATGATTAAAGAAAAATTTGAAGATTTATAAATGTACGTATCTAATTTTATTCTGTGTGATACTCCGAAGTGTGTTTTCCTTGTACGTTATATTATATATTTGAGGTAACCATAATTGGATTTTAAATTGGTTACTGTAATAAAACAATATGTAATGTCCGTTACGAACCTAATTATAACAATGCAATATCAGCGGTTAACAAAAATCCTTTAGCATTTGTATTAATAATGTTATATCATCATAATTTTTCGTCTAATTAACTTTTTTGGTTATTATATTAATAAACACGAATGATCTTTGATTGTTTTGGATGTTGTAAGTAGTATTTTTCCATATAATACATATGTGTATAAGAAACTTAAATAATTAACAAGGTAGAATTGAAAATTATAGAAATATGTTAAAAAAATACATTAAACTTAATAGCGCACATAATTTCGTTTCCATTAAATAGTTTTCTCAACTACTTCGACATGGGATTAGTTAAATTACAAGAAGAGTATAGTCTGAAAAAATATTTTAGTCAAACTATGGACTTTTCAGAAATATTAAGTTTAAATAATCTAAAATAGCTTGATATTGCCTTAAGATTTCTTTAATAAATTACATTACACTTGATTCATGAGTGAAAATCTACAAATGTAATGTGAGTTGTGGATATTTCCCATATCCCAATTTTGTATAAACTGTTAAGTAAAATAAAAGAATATTTACTCCAATGTACTTTGTTTCGCCTTTGAAAGAACGATATTGAACATTTTTGTTCGAATAAAACAACTGGACATATACGTGGTGTAGATAAAACCTTAAAGAGTATGTATAATTTATTGTTTCTTGTAAAATTTCAGATGTGTTATCTATTTATTTATTTATTTATTATTAATTACAATAGAATAATACGTTTTTTTTACGTTACCGGGGCTTTGTTTGAATTCGGTTCCAATTTAATTACTCGTATTATTTTTGTGTATTGAACTCATTGTAACATTTTAAACTTTATTTTCTTTTTCTCCCACAGCCTAAATTTGTTCGGATAGTACATTTATTATCTTGTTTGTATTTCTTAATGATTAAAAAACACAATAACATTTAATGTGTTTTTTTCTGTGTCCAATTCTGTTTTACAACTATCCCCAGATAGTGTTTAGATGGACATGTTAATAAATAAGTTAAGTTTAGTAGGGCTTTCCTTATTTTGTTGTCCTATACAGATACTTGTAAAACTTCTGTTTTTAAAAAGAAATCCTTACCAACGTCTGGCAAATACTTTATAGCCAATTACACCTATACATAGCCAATCACATCGTCATTCCATCTGGTCTTTTATTATTTCGAAACATATAAAACACATTTTGAGTGCTCATTGTTTTTAATTTATTTTCAGCATCAAATCCTCAAGTCCGCAAGCTAAAACAAAGCCAAAAAATCATTAATTTCATTGTTGCGAATGGACGCAATTCTCTTTTACTCGTGTAAAAGATGAAAGATATTTGTCAAATATATGAAAGTTATTTATTTGTAACGACATATTATTATCCTTATTCATGAAAAGTCTTAATTGTAGATTAAACTGCTAATAGCGTATGAAGACAATTAGAGAACAAAAGTTAACATAAATTTCTTATTATTATAATTATTTGTCCGTATGTTTCTTTAGCTAGAAAATATGTTTTATTTTAAAAATCAAAACAAATATTTCGTCAAGTTAAAAATATAAGAACACGGTTAGTGTTACACTATCACAAGTTTTAAGAAGATATGTATTTATTTTGTTTACTGAAAATATTGAATGATAGTCCTAGCAATCAAAATTTCTTAAAATTTATTTTATTTTAGGTAATACTTGAGTGTCAATCTAAAATTGTTTATAATAACTAAAGCTTAGAGTATTGGAATATTTTAGTACCAAAAAATATCTAGAACTTTTAAGGGCTTTATTTTAGATAAATTTGCTTCAGAACGGCTTTGGGTAGACTTGAGTAGACTTTGTTTTCAATTGTAGATATATTTATAATTTTTTGAAGAAATTCACAGAAAATGAAATGATTTTTGTTAAGGATTATTGAAAGATTATAAGAATAAGAGATGCTTTTAAGAAAGATTTAACTTTTTTATTAGCAGTAAAATAATATAATAATACGTGACTTCTTAAGTTGAACGAAACATCGCAATCTAATATTTTTAATGCTTTTAGTTTTTGAAATTCAAACCAAAACGTCAAGATTTAGGAATATGAAATTTAAAACTTAAAATAAGGTGGAATGTATATGGGTCACCAAGTTTAAATAGCTCTACCGAGATATGGCATATACATACGCATATATATGTATAATTATATGCTGATATGGCCCGATGTTTAATAAACTGTAATATTTGTACATGTCGTAAAATTATTAGTGAACCTTTTTTGAATAGCAAAAAATATTATATTATTAATTAATGTGTTTTAGGTAACAAAAATACATCTGCACGAGCGGAACTTGTTTTTTTGATTCTACATTTTGTATTTAAATTGTAAAATAACTTGTTAGCTACAAATTACGTTCATGTTAAAACAAAATTATACGAATAATTATAAAAGGAGATAATCTTTGTTAAGCTTCTCCCCTTCTTATTATATTCAAAAAATAACGTTTTTACTTTTTTGAGTTTATCTTTATAACAATACACACTAAATTACATTTTAATTTTATTTATAATGTCAACGATCCAATGTTGTCTGTAAAATTATGAATGGTGAGCGTCAATAAGAAATTTTAATTTATCTTTGCTTTCTGTTTTCTTTTTCCTGTTCTTTTTGTTTTATCATAAAATGTATGCATGTATCACTAAAATATGGAAAACATAGTTAATTACTTGCAATATATAAATAGATAAAGATGGCAGCAAAATTATTATTAGATAAATAGCTTTGCCTGTCACACGCATGTGGCTTTTGATTACATTACTTTTGTTCATTATATGTATATCGTGAAAAGGTAGCATATAAATATGCAAATATTTTCTTTATGTTTAACTTTAACCTTACGACTGAGAATGTATTGTTTTCTATCATTTAATATTTCATTAATGCTACTCTATCTACTAGTCTATGTAGACCACAGGTGGGGTGCAGTGATAGTGGACAGAGAGAGGAACGACCGTTAGTTTTAATATCGTCAAGGCCTTTGACAGAAATCGGAAATACTCCAGTTATCATGTTTGTGCAGAGCCGCTATGACGACTGTTTTGAACCGACAGGTATTAAAACTTGTGAACATTTTTTACGTCTTTATTTGTTTGAAAACTGGATTTAGGATCTATTTTAAGCTTTTCTGCAAGTCTTTCATTCTATTTAAAAAAAAAACGTGATTTTTCTTAAATTTAAATAATTTTCCGATTGAATAATTTGATTAGATTGGTAATTTTTAATTTTAAAGGACAATAGAAAAAGTAGGCGATACACTTGACTGGTGGAATTTGATTAAAAAGAATCAAGTACTCGAAGACATCAGAAGGTTTTATTAAGGGTTAAGGCATCTCTATCCTTAGTAAGTGAAGGTAGTAATTATTATCTTAGTCACCCCAACCCGTCTAGACCTGAAAGGGCACTGACTATAACTAGGCTTTATAGGCTGTATTAACAAGTACATGTATAAATTATCAAAGAGGACAAATAATATGACACCTTATTTCGACGCTACGTAATAATCACACATTAAACTGGATTTACAAGACAAGTGGTTTGTTTAAGAGACTCATATTTTGATTTGAAAGGGTCTTATTATGGAACTATTATTTTCAATATAATA